CGAACACCTCCCGATCTCTCTCCGTCGCTGTACCCAACCGCCCCGCCCCGACCGAGACGTCGCTCTGGCCAGCGACACCGATTGGCCCACCGCACCTCCGAACACCTCCCGACGGTCCACCCGACCGGCCCGCCACGCTACCGGGACTTCAACTCCTGGCAGCGGCCGCAGGCCTCGCGTGACGGCGGGGCCGCCTTCGAGAAAGAACCGGGTCTCCCGTGTGGGACTCTGCCACCGGGGGCGGTGTCTCGCATGGGCCCGTCATGCGAGACCCGCCTTTTCCTTTAAGGTATTAGAGAAGAATCGAAGGCCTTCTTTGTGTTGCATCTGCTGGCAGCAGGTCTAGCACAAAGGGCGGTGCCGGTGCCACCACGCCGAATTTTCCCGTCGCCGGTACCCATTGCATTGGTTCCATGCTCGGCAAAAGCCAAATTTAGGCGCAATCATTTACATGTAGGGTTTAGCGTCTGAAGCGCTGTAATGTGTTGTCGTTGTGGCATCAGCCCCATCTCTCTGTTCTCTCCCTGCACGTATTCCTATGAAAGGAGCCGAAAGTTTTTGTAACGAGCCGCTGTTTTTATCAATCTTTTTTTTTTCCATCTTTTTTTTTCAATCTTTTCCCTGCCCCACCATGCAAAGAACCTGGGCAGGTTAAGGGCCTCGTCACACGGCACACGAAATGAAAACTTTCACACCGCCACACGATCACACGAATCTCAATAGTGAAAAAGAACTCGCGAGGTGTTAGGTCCTCATCAGAAGGAAAGCAAACTGTGGTTCGTGAGGAGGTTGCTCCGCCTTGCCTGCAGCACCTCAATTTTCGTGGGTCCTTGCAGGGACCCACGAATCCCCCGCCAACTCTCACGAATTCTTGCGAGTGTGTCCAAGGCAGCGGATTGTCTTTCTTGACTTCTGCTATCGATAGAGGCTTGTTTTTTTTTGTTCTTTTTCCCCCTTTTTTTTCCGTGCTCACTGGTGTTTGTTTCGCGTGCTCCGTGCTGCGATGCAGCAGAAAACGAAACAAAAACGAACCCGCCCCCTCGCAAACCCTCGCAATTGTTTTTTTCCTTCTCATTTCGTTTTTGCTGCCGTGTAGCGAGGCCCTAACTATTGCGTTCTCTCCCCGAACCTGCGCCTGCCGCGCTCACCTGCTTTGTAAATGATGTTAGATGGGGTCAAACGGAGTCAATCATGGTCAAGCTCAAACAAACTCACCTCTTCTGGAATAAATCGCAACTTCTCAGTTCTTTGCCGGCAATCACTTCGGCCGGTTGTAAATACTAAATACCTTCTTCAGATGCTTTCTCGCCTGAACCTCGTCCCACATCATGACTGTATATAGCCATCTACCTCGTGTTCCATGTAAACGACAGTTGTTTCCAGCCCCGCCTGTCACGTGGAAAGAATGCCTCATTGAGTAGTCTGTCCCTATGTTACCCCCTGGCCGCAGCCGAGTTCGGCCGTGGCCGGGCCCCCCCGGGCCGCGGCCGAACACGGCCGATAATTTCAGCCGA